GTTAAGTGATCATAGATGCCATAGGAGTAAAGATTAAGGAGTGAAGAGTAAAGGTGCCTAAACTATCAGAGAGGCAGTCAGGAAGGCTATGTGGAGGTAGAATCTAAATTCAGCTTTGAGGGACAGCTAAAAGAGCACAGAGAAGGGATGAGAAATAATTCCAAGGAAAAGAAATGGCAGGGACAAGAGCATGGAAGCCCAAGACTTATGATAGGTACGCAGCTCATCTCCAAAAGCTGTGGAAGATAGGTCAGTGACAAACTGTTAAGAGTATAAATATCAGGCAAAACAAAACAAAAGAAAACATCTGCCTTTATTTCATAAGCAAGTGTTTCTTTTGCATGTTCTGTGGAACGTGGATCCTATGAGATACCCTCCACAAAAGGCTTTTGATATTCACTAAGTTTGGAAAACCCTGCATACTACAACCCCTACTTGGAATTTCAGAACCAATATTGGCATATTAAAGTCTCTGGGAATTCTGCATTAAGGCAACTGGTTTAACTTAGCTTAACACATTATTTAGCAAACTCATGTTTGTCGTGGAATCTTTCCCCTTTGGGAAACACTGTTGAGGATACTTTTCTAGACGACAGGAAGCAAGTGAAGTTCCAGCAGAGTGGCAGGGACTGCTGGATGCTGAGGAAATGGGAAATATCAGAGAGAGTTTAGCTTTGAAAATAAGGAAAAAGGGAAGTAGTAGACTTAATTAAAAATTCTGTCAGCTAGGAGAGGACCTGTGAGTGATGGTAGATAGACGGAAGAAACAGAAAATGCTAGAGAGAAAAACAGAAGAGAAAGAAAGGTTCCAAAGGAGGCAGAGAGATATGGGAATAAAAGCACTAGTAGAGGTTTATCCAAGGAAAGGAAGAAAGAAACCTTCCCTTTAAGATTTGGAGGAAAGATGAATGTTCCAATATAGATACAAAGATATCGAGAGAGAGAAAAATATGAGGATGGGAAAAAGGCTCCTGGGTGGCTTAGATCATCTTTCTTCTTTAGTTGTCTCTGTTCATGCCCTTTCCAACTACTTGACGAATGTCTGTTGAATTAGGGTTGGCTTCACTTCTGGCAGCACAACTTTATCTTAATCAAAAAATATTATCTAGTCATTCATTCATCAAACATTTATTGAGTTCCCGCTATGAGCTAGGCTCTGTGCTAGGCAGTGAGTATGATACTGGTAGGCAGTAAAGCACAGCTTCTAACCCCAAGGAGCTCATGGTCTCAGTCAGCACTGTCTTAGGTTTGTGAACATTGGGAAGTGTAAGATACAAGGATTGCCTCCACCAATTATTGTACTTGCACAGTTCTTAAATGAATGCTCTTTCCCCCTTTCAATCTGAAGAACTCCTACTTATCCTTCCAAGCATATTTCTTCTGTCACTGAAGACCTCCTTGATCCCTTCCTGCAGAGTAGCCACTTTCTCCTTTGAACCATACTCTTTTAGTATTTATTATGTATGATGAAATTCTTTTCTCTCTTATTAGACCATTTCTTGGTATCAGGAACTTTCTCATATGCAGTCTCTTGCACATGGAGATGCTCCCTCCAACCTACATACATAAAACATCATCTATCTTTCAAAGTTTAGCAAAATATCACCTCCATTAAATTGTTCCTGATCTTTCAGCTAGAAAAAATGTCCTCCACTTTTGATCTTTCATAACATTCTAAATCAGTGCTTCTCAAGCTTTAAGGAGCTTTAAGCTTCTCAAGCATATGAATCACTGAGGAATTTTGTTAAAATGCAAGTTACGATCAAGGCAGATTCTACATTACTAAGCACCCCAGTAATGCCAATGCTGCTGGTCTGTGAACATAAACCAGACCAAGAATTACTTATTTATCTGATACAAAATAAAGCCAAAGGATTGCCCTAAAGACTTCTATACTACACTTTACACATATATAATGGTATCACTACATTCTTTCACTTATACATATGCACTTCATAATTGCTTTTGGATGTAATTTTACACCATAGGCTTGAATCTCAGTCTAGATCTCACAATTCATTTATTTAGTCATTTATTGGCTTATTCACACATTGCTCATATTCTTTTAACCTGTACTTATGGACCTGTCTTTTATACACATTATCTTAAATAACTCTCACAATATTCTTGTAAGTGTGCTTTTCATTATATAGGTGACAAAATGGAAGCTTATAGAAGCTGTATTAGTTGCCCAATATCACATAGCTACTATAAGAGTAGGGACTTTAACTGAAGACTTTTGGCTCTAAATCCAGGAACTTTTTAGTTATATCATCCTAAATGTGCTAAGTTTTGTAGTCCTAAGTATCAATGTCACATAAGATAAAAGAAAGCAGAAACCATGTACTCCTTCAACAAACAATTATTTTGTGATGTTTATACTCTGGGTTCTGTGGTAGGTGCTGGGATATAGAAAAGACTAAGGAAGTTTCTGGTTCTGAGGGACAGTTAAACAAGGTTTCAGTAAGGAAGGAGTATCTGAGTTCAGTCTTAAGTTTCAACTTGTGGTAAGGAGGAGAAAGGCATGAGGACTAGAATATGGATCGATATGGAGACAAAACACCAAGGCACATTTTAGAATAAAGGATATGTGTGGCCCAATAGTAAGGATAGGCATCATTAAGAAAAAGAGACTTGGGGGCTGGCTCAGTGGCACAGTGGTTAAGTTTGAATGCTTTGCTTTGGTGGCCCAGGGTTTGCTTGTTCGGATCCTGAGCGCAGACCTATATACCACTCATCAAGCCATGCTGTGGCAGCATCCCACATGGAAGAATTACAAGGACTTACAACTAGGATACACCACTATGTACTGGAGCTTTGGGGAGGAAAACAAAAAAAAAGAGGAAGATTGCAACAGATGTTAGCTTAGTGCCAATCTTCCTTACCAAAAAAAAGGAAAAGCATATCTTTAAAAAAAGAAAGAAAGAGAGACTTGAACAGAATCTAGAAGGAAGGTATACACTGAAAACATCTAAAAGCCAAAAACATTCATGGTCAGAGATACAGCATAAAAAGGGAGAAGTAAGAATTTATATGACATGCTTAGGAACCCAAGAAAAGACTTGAAGTTGCAGAGCCAAGTGTCCATGTTGGAGAATAATAAAAAATAAGTGTGGCACCAATTAATACTGAAACCCAAGCAGTAGCATCATTACTAACATGTACTGAGCACTTCGGTATTACGATTCTTATTTTGTATATAAGAAAACTAAGGTTCAGAGAGGCTAAGGAACTTGCCCAATATCACATAGATAGTAACTGGTAAAGCCAGGATCCAAACCCAGGACTATTAACACTACGCTTCAGAAAAACTATTCAATTTGTAACAATATAAGAAAGAGGCATCATGGTTTAGTGGAAAGAAATTTGAGGAGACAGAACACTGGCTCTTAATTCCAGATCCTTCACGTGCAGGTTACTGAACTTCTTTAGGCCTCAGTTTCATTATAAAACACAGGAATAATAAAGCTCAGCAGGATTCTTAAAAAGACTAAACAAGTCGTTTGCTTAAAATACTGTGTAAATTTAAACTGTACCATGTTATATACATGAGGGTATTATTATATATACATCTTTTCTTGTCTATGTATCCTTGGATATACAGGGAGCCTATATATCCTTAGAGGCTATACAGAGGTCTGGATAAATCTTATGGATTTTACTTATTCCAGGTTTCTTGGTTTAGAATACGGAGGCAATGAGTTACTTGTTATATTATTCTGTCAGACTTCTTGGGTGTATTTAAGAAAGGTAATTCCTGGGGGAAAGGAAGATATGAAAAATATATACATAGATATAAAGTTTGAACGAACATCAGGTTCTGATACTCAAAGATAGAGAATTTTTTTTAAGTCTGTAAAATTAAAGTTGATATTCCACCCTAAGCACCATGCAACCAAATGTAGATAAAATAAACTGAAATACTCCAAGTTGCTCTATTTCATCAAATATTCATACTAAGTTTAAAAGAAATGTATCAGCTACGTTCTCTATGATAGACAAAAATTTTATTTTACATTTTAAACTATAACCAAAACTACAGAACTATTTTTTTTAAAACAATGCCACTCAAAAAGCAAAACAAGGAAAACAAAACGAAAAAGGAAAACAAGCTATACTAACCGATGCAACTATGAAACCACACTTGAAAAAAACGCTAGGTTATTCTTTAGACTGAAACTTCTCCAACTAAATATCACTTATTTTTTCATACCGGGTAGTGAGTCTGGTCACTGGAAAATAACTGATGTAGAAAGTCTAATAAAAGCCAAATTTGAAAATGACTAACAGAGAAAGATTCTGGTTACAAAGAGTCTGGTAAGGAACGGAGAAAACGAGGAAAACGAATTTTCCTGGGCTGTAGGAAAATCTCTCCAGCACTCCTGCTTCCTCGAAACAGTACAAGGAAATTGGTAGAAGCTACTGGGAGCACCAGCTGGATTACAGGAAGTTTCAAATATATTTGGGTCCATTTCTTTGCCTACTGAGGTCAAACACTATAAAACAGGAGAAAAACTGGGACGTAGGCAAGATATCAGACTCCACGAAAACGCGACCTCCCCGAGGGAAGTTCGCGTTTGCAGCGCCGAATCGAATCCCCGCACAAAGGCATCCTATCGATAAGTAACAGGCACACAGCTCTCCTTTCTCGTTCTCGGCCTCTGACACCTACCCAGGCCAGCTAAACAGCCCTTTTCTGCGAAACGGCAAGTCATTTCAGCATTAAAATCTTCGGGTTCCGTGGGTCCACCTGGGTAATTCACCCCGAAAATCCTACCCCCAGACGGCGTGCGGACAGCCAGAAGCTGCCCCAGTCACTTGGAAAGCCCCCCACACCCCTCCCGCGGCCGCTCGGGCCCTGTCGGAAGGCCGGCAGGCGCAGGGTGCTCGAGTCACCGGGCCCGTCCCCACCCGGCCACGGCCGCCCCAGCACCAGAAGACCCCGGCGCGCCGGGCCGGCGGCCTCGGGCGTGACGGGCCCTCCGGGGGCTCAGGCTCACCTTCGGCGTCTGCTGAGGAGACGAAGGTGAAGTCCCCGTTGGTGGGGGAGTAGGCCGGGGGCGGGCCCGGCGGCTGCATCGCGCGGCCCCTCGGAGCCGGCGGCGGTGGAGGAGGCGGCGGCTGGGCCCAGGCCCCGGGGCGGCCGCGGCGCCGACCCGCACGCGCGCCCTACGGTGCGGCCCGCGAGCCGCGAGGCGCGGACTGGGAGCGAGGCCGGAGACGAGCGCAGCGGAACCGCGGCTGCCCCCGAGGCTGCCCCGCCAAAGTCCCTTCGGTGGCGACCGCCCAAGCACCACGACGCCGGCGCCCTGACAGGACCATAACAGTGACAACGCCGCTTGGATTGGCCCTTTGTAATGTGCTCTCCCATTGGCTCCCGGAGGAAGGTCCTGATTGGGTCTCCCTGCTGTTTATTCCGGAAGTTTACCCAGGCCAGGAAGTTCACTTATGATTCGTGGAACGCTGTGACTTCTCCCTCTGTTTGGGATGTGTTTGTTTCCTTTAAGTCTCATCTCTTCTGGCTTTTCTTTACCTCTTTGCTCCGTTTTTGTTAACTGGGTGGATTAGAGGATTTTAGAACTAGGAACGTTTCCAAAGGTCTGCCCCGGTCTGGGATCCCCAGATTCCGTTGCCCTTAGTAATTAATTGTATAGGATCTTGTCTAAATAATATTGTATATCGTCTCCGAACCTCAGCTTCCTACCCTGTGAAATGAAGGGGGCTGGATTGGATAATAGTAAAAAAGCAGATAAGCTGTAAATTACCACCCAGAGACTGGGGCTGTAGTCTAGCCACATTCCTTTATGTGGGGGGCAACTGAGGCCAGAAAGGTTAAGGAGGAAACAATTAGGACTGTAACTAAATCTCCTGACTTCTGGTCCAGTGCTGTTTTCACTACAAGATCCTGTCTGTTGATATACTTACCAAAGTTTACAAACCCTCCTAGGTTTTTAAATGTTTAAATAAATATTCTTAAATGTAATATCTTAGCTACATAAATGTGGCTTCCAATTTGGAGAGAGAGGGTCTGATAGTATATTATGAGACAGACTTGAAGAGATGCATGACTGATCAGTAGTAGAGCAATAGGAAGTCACGGCCATTAATCTGTAAAAGGGAATATTGAAAATTTTCTCAGAGGAGGTAACAATTAAATTGGTACTTAAAGGATGAGTAAAATTTTCAGGCAAAGAGGTGTCGGGTGCTGGCAGCCTGGGTCATAACATCCCAGAAATCATTTAATGGACTTGGAAAACTGGCAGTCATTTAGTTGGAGCTTAGGTTTCATGGGAGAGAACAGCTACAGGTGAGATTGAATGAATAAGTAAAGTAGATCATAAACAATCTTGCATGCTATTCTAAAACTTAAATTTTTTTTCTGAAAATGTAGGGGGAACCATTAAAAGAATTAGAGCAAAGGAATGACAAATCAAATATCCCTGTTAGAATGATTACTTATTTGGATACTTAGTGGATATTTTGACTTGGAGAGCAGAGACGTGTATGAGACTTCTACAGAAATATAAGTAAGTCTTGGACTAGAGTTGCAGCATTGGGGATGGGAAAGAGGAAAAAGATATGAGATATATTAAGTTTAAGAATCCACAGGACTTAAATGATCAATGGGAAGAGACTGGGAATCAAGAACAGGAAAGAGCCTAGAATGACTTCATGTTTCTTGCTTTAGTGGTTAGAAGTGTTATTCATGAAGTGAGGAAATAGCAGAAGAGGAGTTGGTTTGGTGAAAGGGGAAAGTTTTGAACACCTTGAGTTTAAGAACATGCAGATTGAGCTGTCTAGTTATTCTTTGAGTAATAAGGACCCAGTGCACAGAGTAGGGGTCTGAACTGGAGGTATAAAATTGTTGTCAGTGCATGGTTGATAATTGCATCTATAAGTATAGGTGAGATTGCCCAGGAAGAGTGTGCTGAATGAGAGAAGAGTGCCAAGAATGATACTCTCAGGAACACCAACATTTAAGTGGCAATCTAGGGAGGGTTGACCTGCAAAGGAGATGGGATGAGTTGCAATTTAAAATAGGATAGTGAGGATAGGCAAAATTGAGAAGGTGACGTTTGAGCAAAGACTTGAAGGACGTGATCATTTATACTGGGTCAACTCACTTAAATTGGAACTATGATTCCTAGAATTCCTTTACCTATATGCCTTCAGGTTAGAGTTTCTCAAAAGAAAAGCTTGCACAAGATTTGTGTGGTGGAAATGAAGCAGTTGCCATTACACTCTGAGCATCTTCTTAGTCAGATATGGTGATGGACAAATGCGATGGACTCTTAACTTATCCTAATACTCCTATGGTCTGCATTCAACACTTCTTGTCTACTACAACTCTGTTGATCAACAGTGGCCACTAGACAGTTAGCTATGGCCCCACAGAGCTGGTAGCTACCCAGATCAGCTGATTTTCCTTATCAGGCTCACCTCAGCAGTTGGATGTGCTTAACTTCTCAAATTGATTGGTTGCTGACTAACTTCTCTAGTCCTTCAACTCCCTCTTCCAGATCTGCACTTCCCCAGCCATTATTTCTTCAAATAATTTCTCTATCCCTTTCCCTCTCTCTTGTTTTCTGGGATTCCCATAATATGTAAATTGGTCAGCTTCATGGTATCCCACAAGTCCCTGAGGCTCTGATCACCTTTCTTCATTCTATCCTTTCTGCTCCTCACACTCAATGATTTCAATCGTCTTGTCTTCAAGTTCTCTGATTCTTTCTTCTGCCTGATTAATCTTCTGTTGAACCCTTCTAGTGAATTTTTCAATTCAGTAATTATATTTTTCAGCTCCAAAATTTTTGTGTGGTTCCTTTTTATAATTTCTGTCTCTTTGTTGATATTCTTATTTTGTTCATGTATTGCTTTTTTGATTTCCTTTATTTCTTTGTCTGTATTTTCCTTTAGCTCTTTGAACATATTTAAGACAGATGTTTTAAAGTGTTTTTCTAGTAAATTCAATTTCTGTGATTCTTCAGGGATGGTTTCTGCCAGTTTATTTTGTTCCTTTAAATGGACCGTATTTTCTTTTTTTGGTATGCCTTATGATTTTTCAATGAAAATCAGGCATTTGAAAAAACATCCACCTTTCCAAGTCTATGACTATTGGCTCTGTGTCAGGGCAGTCCTTCACTCATTAGCTGGGTGTATGCTGAGCCTAGGGATCAGCCTGAGGTGAAAGCTTAAGGTCTTTTCAGATCTTTCTTTTTTTTTTAATTGGTGGTAATAAGGTTTTTTTTTAATTTTTAATTTTTTTAATTGCAGTAACATTGGGTTATAACAATATATAGCTTTCAGATGTACATCATAATATATTTCGAATTCTGTGTAGATTACATCATGTTCACCACCCAAAAACTAATTATAATCCATCCCCTCACATGTGAGCCTAATCACCCCTTCCCCCCCCCCCATGGTAACCACCAATCCAGTCTCCATTGCTCTGTGTTTGTTTGTTGTTTTTATCTTATACTTATGAGTGAGCTCATATGGTATTTGACTTTCTCCCTCTGACTTATTTCACTCAGCATAACACCCTCAAGGTCCATCAATGTTATCACAAATGGCCGGATTTTGTCATTTCTTATGGCTGAGTAGTAGTCCATTGTGTATAAATACCACATCTTCTTTATCCATTCATCCCTTGATGGGCACCTAGGTTGCTTCCAAGTCTTGGCTATTGTGTATAATGCCGCAATGAACATAGGGGTGCAAGTATCTTTATGCCTTTGTGTTTTCAAGTTCTTTGGATAAATACCCAGCAGTGAAACAGCTGGATCATATGGTAGACCTATCCTTAATTTTCTGAGGATACTCCAAACTGCTTTCCATGGTGGCTGCACCAGTTTGCACTGCCACCAGCAGTGAACAAGGGTTCCCTTCTCTCCACACCCTCTCCAACATTTGTTGTTTCCTGTCTTGCTAATTATAGCCATTCTGATTGGAGTGAGGTGATACCTCATTGTAGTTTTGATTTGCATTTTGCTGATAGCTAATGATGTTGAGCACCTTTTCATATGCCTGTTGGCCATCTGTATATCTTTTTTGGAGAAATCTCTGTTCAGATCTTTTGCCCATTTTCTAATTGGATTGTTGGTTTTTTTGTTGTTGAGCTGTAAGAGTTCTTTGTATATTTTGGCTATTAACCCCTTATCTGATATGTGGTTTGCAAATATCTTCTCCCAATCGTTAGGTTGTCTTTTCATTTTGTTGATGGTTTCCTTTGCTGTGCAGAAACTTTTTAGTTTGATGTACTCCCATTTGTTCATTTTTTCTTTTGTTTCCCTTGCCCGGTCAGACATGGGACTTGAAAATATGCTGCTCAGATCAATATCATAGAGCGTACTGCCTATGTTTTCTTCTAGAAGTCTCATGGTTTTGGGTCTTACATTCAAGTATTTAATCCATTTTGAGTTGATTTTTGTGCATGGTGTAAGGGAATGGTCTACTTTCATTCTTTTGCTTGTGGCTGTCCAATTTTCCCAACACCATTTACTGAAGAGACTCCCCTTTCTCCATCATATGCTCTTGGCTCCCTTGTTGAATATTAGCTGTCCATAAACGTGTGGGTTTACTTCTGGGCTCTCAATTTTGTTCCATTGATCTGTGTGTCTGTTTTTGTGCCAGGACCATGCTGTTTTGGTTACTATGGCTTTGTAGTATAATTTGAAATCGGGGAGTGTGATACCTCCAGCTTTGTTCTTTTTTCTCAGGAATCCTTTGGCTATTTGGGGTCTTTTGTTGTTCCATATAAATTTTAGGATTCTTTGTTCTATTTCTGTAAAAAATGTTGTTGGAACTTTGATAGGGATTGCACTGAATCTATAGATTGCTTTAGGAAGTATGGACATTTTAACAATGTTAATTATTCCAGTCCAAGAGCACAGAATATCTTTCCATTTCTTTGTGTCTTCTTCGATTTCTTTCAACAATGTTTTATAGTTTTCGGTGTACAGATCTTTCACCTCTTTCGTTAAGTTTATTCCTAGGTATTTTATTATTTTTTTGCAATTGTAAATGGGATTGTATTCTTAATTTCTCTTTCTGCTACTTCGTTGTTAGTGTATAGAAACGCAACCAATTTTTGTACATTGATTTTGTATCCCGCAACTTGACTGTATTCCTTTATTATTTCTAAAAGTTTTTTACTGGACTCTTTAGGGTTTTCTAGATATAAAATCATGTCGTCTGCAAAGAGTGACAGTTTCACTTCTTCTTTTCCAATGTGGATCCCTTTTATTTCTTTTTCTTGCCTGATTGTTCTGGCTAGGACTTCCAATACTATGTTAAATAAGAGTGGTG